AGGGGGGGAAGTGTGAGCCGCTCGTTCCGCGCCGTCAGCCGCATCTGCAGAGAAACTCCAGGTGCCGTACGCTGCAGAAACTCCGCTCACGTTCAATCGCGCTCGTCCCGTGCAATGGTTTCCGCGTTCCCGTCGGAGTATGAACGGTCAAGATCGGCCCGTGTTGTGTCAATGCCCACCTTGCACAGAAGACTACTATCCGCCTGACGGTCGGGCTGAGCTGCTTCAATCGGGAAAAGCACGAGGGTATAGCACCAACGCGTTTAGGATTTACAGAGGGTAGCTGATGGGGCAATGCCATTCACTCTGCCACGCTTGCCCATGCCAAGCAGGCAGAGTCCATGGCATAGCTGCATCCGTACACATAAAAAACAGATGTATCTACCCATACAAAGATGTATTTTATATTGGAATTATATATTTTGGATACCTCTGTGTTAGTGGTTGGTTCCAAAGTGGTCGTGGCATGCCTCTGCCATTGACAGACATGACATGAGTGATTGGGTGGATAAGTTGGGAGAAAAACGAGATAACAAGGGATCATAGAGGGATAATAGGGGGATCGAAGGCGTGCGGATGTAGTCTGCATGAGGTCTTTGACTATCACATCCTAAAGATAAGAGGACGAAGAGCTGTGAGTCCTGCATAGCATGAGCCTGCTTGTTACCCATCCATCCATCTGTGCAGCACTGTTTGACTGAATATGTTTCAAACAATTCACATACACCTGCTAATAGTATGGCGCATTAGATAAGAGTATTGTGGTGTCCGCTATGCTATGTATAAAGTCCAGTCATCAGCACGTATGCTATGTATAAAGTCCAGTCATCAGCACGATGGCAATCAGCAGTCAAGACAGTTGTGCAGCCGTTCCCCATCCCAAACCTGCCATGCGCCTGCTTCCTGGACATCAGGTGAAATTGGATCCAACTCTGGTGGGGAGAATTCTGGTTGCACGCAGCCATGTTCTGAAGCAGGAGAAGGAGCACCCCACGCATTGCCCCTAGCTCCAACCGAGCTTGTATGCCTGTCCAGCGATGAACCATCCTGTGCAGGAACGCTGATGGATGGCCTTCTGAGACGGCACTTGCTCCGTACCCTCTCTTCCGTGGAACCAAAAGGTGATGGTGTGATGGTCGGAGTCGGCTGATGTGATGGCCGACTGTGAGAACCCCACTCCTGTGCTACCACGTGGAGAGGAGAGACAAGCCGGGGAGAGGGAGTTGGCGGGAAGAGAGCGCACAGGTCGTCCACGATTTTGCAGCAGGTGAGATTCAGAATCAGGTCTTCATCAGGATCAACCGCCATGGGTGACGATGGCATGACCACGTGTAGATGGCTGTCGCTGGTGGCTTCCGTGACTGGTGTAAACGAAGCGAGCTGTGGGGTGCTGTACAGTCCAGAGACTGCATCCTGAACACAAAGAAAAGGATGCGGAAGAAGCTCAGCTGCTGTCGGTCTCTGCTGCGGGTCCCGGCAAAGACATTTACTGATGAAATCATAACAAAATGGAGATACATCTTCCGGAATTTCAGGGAGCTCGCTGGTGCACCCAAGCTTGTACAGCACGGACATTGGGTCGGCGCATTGGGACGACCATGGCGGCTTCCCAGTGAGCAGCTCTATCACCGTGCATCCGAGCGACCACACATCACACGCCGGTCCAATGTCCCCTCCTACTACGACTTCAGGAGCCATCCAGCACGGCGTCCCTCGGAGCTTTTGTTTCCGATCCACCTCATGATTGCTCTCAGCTTCCTGACAATCAGTTGCTTCTCGTCTTTGTAGCGAGAGGCCGAAGTCGACGAGGACCACGCAGGAGTCACCCAGAACGACGTTGCAGGCTTTCAGGTCGCAGTGAACCACGCCCTCCTGGTGGATGTAGCTCAAACCCTCGACGACACCCCTGACGTGACGAGCAACATCAGCTTCGCATAAGCCGCTTCCGGAGTCCGTTGAAGAAGCCAGCTCTGCGAGATTGCCCCCGGATGCCAGCGCTAAGAGGAGGTTTCGCGTGGGAACACCGTCCTCCATGGACCAATCAGCTCCAAAGCATTTGATGACATTGGGAGAGTCAAGCCGTTGCAGAATTTCGTACTCGTTCTCCAACGCGTGGAGTTCGTGAGAATTATCGTTCGTAACACGAACAGATTTGACTGCTATTAGCTGTCCGCTGGCGCTGTCGAATCCGATGTTCACTCGTCCGAACGAGCCTCTCCCGAGCAACGGGCCTCGAGACCAGCTAGCTCTTCCACTGCCGATGTCAGCGGTTTCCATCGCTGTGTCTGTGTCTGAGCTAAGAATGAAGTCTAGGTAACCCATGAGGTGGTCAGTGAAACGGTGGAGGAGTGGAGATTTGTGATCTGGAGCCCTGCTTCATTCGCGAAAGTTCAGAAAGCAACTTGCAGTGGCTGGTGGAAACATCGATAGAATTCATCAGACTGAAAGTCAATCGCTGAAGAGCAGCTGATAATGCTCCTTGTCGGGACGCCGCGTAGTGCGGTCCATGGAGATGGAAGAAGCCGCTTGTAAACAGAACTGAAAAGTACGCGGTGCTGGTGGTGGGTTGGGCTTTACAGCGGGGAGGCGAGGAAAGTGTGGGGGAGGATGGAATGAAAGCTGGGAGGTGAGGTGTGTGCGTGTGTCACCTTTCAAGCAAATTCGGCGACCACGAGCCGCAGGTCACCGCGCCGCAGAGAGCGTCGTCGTGCCTGGCCTGGACGATCATCTCAAGAAAACCACAACCAAGGCCCCTCTTGGGTTCGCCGTGTGCCCTTGGTTCTGGTTCGGCAGTCTAGCCATTGACGAAGGCACCAAGGCAACCTCGATACTGTATGGTTGTGTGTTCGGTCTAGCGGTGTTCCCGGAGTAGACCCGCCGCTTTGTTATCGAGCCACTATATGAAGCTCGGGAAAGGGGAAAAGGTTTGGGTTTCAGCCTTTGCGGTTAGGCACGGTGTCAAGCGTCGTTTCGATGTTCTCAGGGGGCTGGCTTGTCAAGGCTGCAAAAAGCTCAGGTTGACGGGACAACGCGGCCTGGTTTTGTCCGCTTTCGACGCTGTCCGACCAATGAAGGCTCGGAATGCGAACGACCGTGAACAAAAGCCCCTGTTTCCGAGGGACGTTCCTGGGTTTTCAAATTACGATTTTGAAGATGGTGGAATCTCGGCAAAGCACGGAGTTCGATGGAGGGTTACCTGTCGCTTCACGTGACGACCAATGAGTTTCGCCAATAAGACCGATCACAAGCCACGAGGAAATCATGACGAGATCCGGGTGATCGCGAAATAGGAAAACTCTTGCTCGTGCATTCGACACGTTGCCTTCGCCACCAATACTAGCACAGGGTGGCCACTGACTCTACTTCGCTTACACCATCAACTTCGGAAAGGCTGCTTTGTGGGGGGGAAGAGTGTTGCAGCTGTTCGGATGGGTGAAAAGCAATTTTCCGTATAATATGTTATACGATGATGTCGTGCCTACAATAGTTTCCCATGCCCATCTGCCTTTGCGCGGGCGTTCCCGTGGTTTCGCTGCTGCTTAGGGCGTGTCCAGCTCGTTCATTTCGGGAAATTTAGTACCTCCTCACGATCCGGGGTTCAAAACTGATCACTGTACCTATAAACGAATACGACCTGCGTCGAGTCCACCCTTTTTGTCAATTCGAGCGCGCGGACACATTCCCCCCACACAGACTTCAACAGTGCAGGGGCCGTGTGGAAACGAGGTAACCGGTTCCCTCGTCAACCAAAGCGTTGGAATTTTCGCCAAGCCAACACTTCCACTACTGGTTTTGGCGAGTGTCAGGCTGCAGTGGCGAAATCGAGCGCGCGATACGATGGGCGCGGACTGTTGTGGGCAGGACGCGGCTCTGTACCATTGTTCGATGCGCACGCTGATTTCTGTAACGTGCGTCACACGATTCCAGGAACGTGCAGGGGGTGTGCCGTATCGTGAACGGGAGCTGATCGTGTCTGGCATTTTTGTAAAATTCAGTGTTACAACGCAAAATCTGGTAACTGAAGGGCTTTACGAACAGTAAATGAACGAGCTGGACACCCACGGCAGAGAACCTGATTTTTTCATGTTCCGCTTTGGAAAACGCAACGACCAAATCGGTCGCCTAGCTCAACTTCTCGTCTTCCGCTGTGTAAATGGGTAACCTATTCTCCACACAGCCTCCTGAGTCAGCACTAGATCGCGGGAACCGCTTAAGAGAAGAGGCATGGGCCCACGCGCAGCGCGCAAGGGACCTAGCCGCGGAATCGCAAGCCGCTTACCAGCGACGAGAAGGCGCACGCGTTAAGGAGCTGAGCGAGGAACGGAAGCGGTGTAAAGGACTCGCCGATAAAGTGCATCGGGAAGCGAGTAAGCTGATATTTGAAGGTAACAATGAGGGACGAGGCCATGACACGGTAGATGTGCACGGCCTGTTGGTCGAGGAGGCGCTGGAACAGGTCGCACGCCGCGTTGCGGAAGTGAGAGCAAGGGACGGAGAGAGATTAACGGTCATAACTGGGCGTGGTCTACATTCAAAAGGGGGAGCGGCCAAAATAAAGCCGCGGGTGATAGAGTGGGCGGAGAGGGAGAAGTTCGAATGCATGGAAGACCCGAGAAATGGAGGGTGTGTAATCGTCACGATAAAGAGTTCCAAACCTCAGTTATGCACTATTATGTGAGGTAGGTTGGGGAGATTGTGAAAATGTTCCTTTGGAAGTTAATGTGTACAAAATTGAGTAACGCATGTTCTTGCACTCTGCCATGGCTCCAACCAACTCTTGCACTAGCAATCTCCACTACATGGTGGCTGTACATGTGAAGCCCTGTTCCAAGGAGACAAAATGGGGTCTTTGCCCCAAGCTCCCCTGCACACCCTGTAAAATGCGCTCCCAAAAACGGGGTCTCTAAACCAGGAAATTGCTTGGAGCTCTAGTAGCAGATCCACTCATGCGCTGCACAGGAAAACAGAGTTTGTCATTAGCGATAGTGCAACCAAAAAGGTTAATGCCTTTCCCTGTCAGCACAATAATGTCCACTGGAAAAGGAACCCTTACCAAGAATTTCGCTTGCTGTGATTCGTTTGGCCGGGTCAGTCTGCAGCATGCGCCTGATGAGGTCCTTGGCAGCAGGTGAGATAGACGGCCATGGCGCACTGACCATGTCATAGTGGCCTGCCAACACGGCCGAGCAGATCGCCTCTTCTGAATCTGCAGCAAACATAGCGAACGAGAAGAAGCAGAGTTATGAGTAAAAATGCAGCGGAAACTGAGTAATACAACGAGCACAGGAACAAAAAGTCCATGAGTGCACAAATAGGGATAGAAACGCACCATCCCAGAAGGGTGGCGATCCAGTGAGCATCATGTAAAGAACGACCCCCATGCTCCACACGTCGCACTCGCTGCCGTACTGCTTCCTCAGCACCTCTGGCGCCACATAGTACGCCGTCCCCGCTATTTCCGTCAACCGCTGCCCGTCTTCTGGCTTGTGCCACGTGGACAGACCAAAGTCGAGGAGCTTGAGGGGAGGGCAAGGGGGGGAAAAGGCGGGGGAGCAGGGCGCAGAGGAGGAGGAGGCCAGGGAACCCGTGCAGTCGCTGTCGGCCTCACTACCACCCAAATCAGAAGCCAAGCTGCTGGCGCTGCCTATGCTGGGGAAATGGCGGCTTTTGCTTGTGCTGCGGCTGCTGGTCGAGCCATGGTGTGTGCTGCCGTCAGGATGCGACGCGCCCTCCCTGGCGTCCCGCGGATCCATAAAAGCGATGTTCTCGAGCTTCAGGTCGCGGTGCACCACGCCCTCTGCGTGCAGCGTCGCCACCGCCTCTGCCAGCTGCCGCATCACCCGCTTCGCCTGCGCCTCGCTCATCCGCTTCGACGATGCGCTCCCACTGACGCTGCTGTTGCGTGTGCTGGCTGTGGCAGCGGCAGGACTGGCGCTGCTCTTAGAGCGATCTACAGCGGAGGTATCGTCCGCGATAGAGGCCGTTGTAAGAACATCGTACAGCGTCCCACCAGTGCAGAGCTCAAGAACGAAATGCACGCACGTGGAGTCCTCGTATTGGTCGACAAGGGCCGCTACTGATAGGTGTGTTGATACGCGCTTGAGAATGTCGAACTCTGTGCGGAGGCGTGTGAGCTGATCCTGCGACATGCGCCGCTTGTCGACCGTCTTGCACGCGTATCGCTCGTGCGACTTCCTGTGCATCACCACGCGAACCACGCCGTACAATCCGCGACCGATTTCGCGACCTGAAAGTTTGCAAATTGAGCGCCACGCAGGACGATGACGAGGAGGGAAACAGATTAGCGACGATGTGAAGGAGCTGATCATCGCAATGAATCACAACACATATAGTTCCCATGCATGGCGCTGAAACATGGAGCTGAGGCAGAAGCTTACCTATCAAATAGTTGTTCTCGAGTCGTGTACTCGACGGTGGCAGGCCTAACACCGATTGGCGATTCGACGCATCCTGCTTCGCGTGTTTGCTAGCTTTTCTTTGTGAGCGATCCGCCTTGCGATGCTGCTTAATGATGGCAGGGGAAGGCGTGGTTGGAATGTCTGACGATGCGCGACTGCGACCACCCGTAGAAGCACAGGCGCCCATGTTCGATCGAATTAGGTTATTCGCACAACAAATATCCCTGAAGAACGGCGACCTAGGGATAATACCCTGCGGAGAAGCGCGATCGTCGCCTAAATATGCAACGATCCAAATATGGAAGCGACGACCGAGAATTTAATAACGATCTAAACCGGGAAGCGACGACCTAAAAAATAATCTGGCTGGAGCTTGCAAATGTGACGGACTGACTGTGAGTGCGCGCTTGCAATTCACTATGAAGTGAGGAGTGACGCTATGGCTGCTGTCAAGATCGCTTTTGAGCACCGCTGGCGTCGGACGTCGAACGGACACCACCGATCACTCTTGTCTTGTCCCGCCCTACCACGTGGCTGGCTGCAGAGCGCACGGCGTGTTGGGTCGAGAGGAAGCAGGGCAGAAACTGTCGCGCGGTGCGTTGATTGGCATGCTTGCGTCATTTCGCGAAAAGGTGAATGTGGTTGCACGGTCCACGCGAAGAACCTGTATGGCCAACGATGATTGGAACTGGCTGAACGAAAACTCATTCTTTCGCTTCTGACTGGGGGGTTTGGGTTGGGTGGAGGAAGGGAGGTTGCGTATGGCAGAGAAGCTGCTTGCGCACGCAGATCCCTTGTGACTCGTGTGCACCAATCACACGCCATGACGTGCAAGCATCTCGTTTCCTTACAAGGGGATGAGTGAGACAATGACGTAGCCCTAAATGAGGGGATTGGCGTCAGCAACTCTGTCGCTATTGGACGATATGATGTTCCCCGAAAGCACCTGCCAGATCCGGAGCCTTCCTCGAAACGATGAGCTTCCATCGCCAACATCACAGTTTGGAGGATCGAGCCTTTCGCGCGCGGTCACATCATTCTCGCTGACATGAGCGCACACTTTTCAAAGAGATGTGACAACATCAAGACCCTGATGATGCCACATCTCTACATGCATTGTAATATAGCAAGATAATGATAAGCATCACTCTTACAAATCTGACGACGAGAATAACACTCCACATGCATTATTTCCATAATTGCATCAAGCAAACCTCACTCAAAACTGACAAAACATGACAACCTTTAACTCCTATCTACCATCTCCCATGCCTGCCTCTGCTGCCTCCCTCTCTGCTTGCTCCAGTATCTGTTCTGCCCTCTTTCTTTTTTCATCCCTCTCGTCGTCCTTCCCCTTTTCCCTCTTCTCCTTCCCTTTCCTCTCTTTGTCCTCCTCGCCTTTCCCAATGCCATCACTCCCACCTTGCACGCCCTTAAGCTTTGGCTGCTTCAGCACAACAGGCAACTGCATTCTGGCAGCTCCAAGCTTGGCCTTGATCTTGCTGCCTAGGTGAAACGACACCCCCGGGGCACTGGCCCCTGAAACCCGCTCCACTGCCGACCACCCACTCCACCCAACCTCCTTCACCCGCTCGCCCTGATCCCCCACTGCCTCACTTCTCTTGGCCCCACTGCCATCACCCTTCCTCTCCTCTCCGCCCTCCACTACCACAATATCCCCATCCATAGCCATCGCATCCCCATTCCTCCCCTCTATCTCTTCTAACTCATCCTCCTCCTCCTCACTGTCCTCAACCCCCTCCCCCGCTGCTCCCCCGCCCTGCGCCCTGCCCACGGCCATCATCAGCCCGGGGAACGCATCCAGCGCGGAAGGAACCTGACCCGCCACCCACCCGCCATCTGCCTCCCTTCTCCGCTTCTTCCGCCCCTCGCCCCTCTCAGTGCCATCATCGTTGCGCATCGCGAGCGGCGCACCAGTGGCAACGGGCGCGGAGATCCCCGCGTCTGGCCTGGCGGAGAGGTCTTCCCCCGCGCCAACGTGAGACCATCCGCCCCACAACAGCCGCCCGCCGCCAGCACCACCGCGCGCCTGCGCGCCGCCCGCCGTGACCATCCCCATGCGCTGGTGCAGGGACACCAGTGACTGCTCCGCGCGCCGCCGCTCTCGCCCCTCCTCCACCCGATCCTGCCGTTTGTCCTGCCCCCGAGCCTCCCACACAGGCGTGGCGATGTACGTGTGGGGATCCGGGAGCGCCGGTAGCCACTCCGGAATGTCGCCACGTGGAGGAGGGTCCTCCCCACTCTGAAGGAAACTGGCGGCGACGAAGCGCGGGTTCCGAGGGACGGGGAAGGACGGGACGGCTTGCGCCAACGACGGCGACGAGTTGTCGTCCGCGAATTCGACGAAACGAGCGAGATCGCCGAGCGACGTGCCGACGTCGGATAGTGCGAGGGCGACGTTGTTGGCGTTAGCGTCGGTTCGCCCTGCGAGCTCCGCGTGCGCGTGCGCAGCGTCGCCGACGCTGGAGATGAACCGAGTCAGGATGTCGGACAAGGTCTCGAGCGCTGACCGTTGGATGGACTGGAAGCCGAAAGACTCGCAAATCTGAGCGCAGACTAGCTGCGACACGGAGCGAGTGAACGGCTCCGCCATGGCTGGCTTGTTCGCTATGAGATTCCTTGCTCGCAGCGCGAAAAGTTAGGGTTCCCGCAATGCCCCGTGTGTTTCATCGGCTACGGTAATCAGGTGTTGATCTGTGCTGGGGCTGACAGCTTTGGTTGGATGCTGTGCAGCACGTCAGCTGGTTCTCAGCGCCTTGCGAAATGTTACCATTTTGCGAATCTTCGCAAGCACGTGTTTGCAATTCAAGCCCAGCTCTGCTCATGCCCATCATCCAACATTTCGTGCACGCGACAGTCGCAAATATTACCCGATGGGAGCGGGCTTCGCCCAGTCGCTAGCGGCAGCAGGCAAGCAACAGTGGTTTCCTTTGCCAGTCCCTTGAAGTGTGTACGTTTGAAATTCAAGTTTCCAAATCAAACCACCATGACCATGGGTGTTTTGTGTCCGTCTGCTCCGCACTTGCTGCTCGCTTCCCTCGCTGCTCCCGAGCAGCAGCATCTGCGGTGAAGCGAACGTCTGTGTCTCGAGCGTTAGGGTGGTAGTAGGTCCGAGGCAATGGACCCTATTAATTTTAGCGACATAAAAGAGGACCATAATTGGTCTTCGGATGCCATTCCACCCATGAATAACTTCACACATACGAGCTATCACCATAGCACGACTACTCATCCTCCTCTCACCTCTAGTTCCGAATCACCTTCACTAGTCTCCTCATCCGCCAATCGTCCCTCCGTTCCCGCCGCAATGTCACACCCACAGACCGTTCACTTCAACCGGCAAGAACCACCGCTACCGGGGGGATATCTGAACAGTAACCCGTATTCTTCTTCTCAGATTGCTCTCTTCATAGCGTCTAACTCAGTAGAACCCCCTTACAATAACGGAGCCTCGTACGCGTCACTCCAGCATAGCTCGCAACCGGCGCCTGACGTGGGTTTTTCTCATCCCAACGTGGGGACGTCGCACCCCACGTCCGCCCCACTCTCGTCCTCGTCTTTGCCGTTTCAAAACCAACCGTTCTATCCGCCGCACCCGCCGTTTCCTCAGAACTCGCAATTTCCGCTGTCGCCCGCGCAGCCAGCAGGCACGCCGCTTAGAAATCCCTCCTCGTTACCTCTGCACGCGCCAGCTGCGCACTCCATGAATTCTGGCCCTCGAAACACCGCCGCTACAGCCGGTAATGGAAACCACATGCCGTCTGCCCACGGCGTGCAATTCGGTGCTCCAGACGGGCAGGCTGTTTATAACGGTCAAGTGGGTCCTTCGGCTCCTGCGTCCAGCCGTCTGGCCGTCGGATTGTCAGGACCACCGACAAACCATCTGATTCGGCCGTGGCAGAACCAGGCGAGCGTGAACCAGTCAGGTGCAACAACACCCTTTATCCAAGCCTCCGCCGCCTTCTGCCGGCCCGCTCCGTCCGCCCCTTCTCCTTCCGCCGGTTCCGCGCCTTCTGCCCCTTCCGCGCCTTCCGCTCCTTCAGCGACTTTCTTTCCTACCATCCCTTCCGGGTCTTCCGCGCCTTCCGCAGGATCTCAACTCCACTCCGCTTTCTCGACGGCTAACGCGCTAGGTGGTCCCTCCGTCGTTGCCGCCGCGCCCGCCGTCCACTCCCGCCATGCAGCCGCGTCACCCGCCGCTCCACCGCAGAGGTCGAACGGCGTGGGGCCCTGCATGATTGGGATACCGTCAGCTCCCGCTTCTGCGTCCGCTGCTGCGTATGCTCCAAATCCTCCGCCTGTTCCCGCGCCTTCGTCCTTTGATCCGGAATTGCAGACGCGCGTGCATAGGCTGCTTATGCAGGATGCAGGGAGGAACAATGCGGGTGCTTTCTCACTCGGTTCGCGAAGTGGCAGCATGCCTGCTACAGCTGCTACAGCTGCTCTCGTCGCCGCCATGTCGTCGGGTCCAGCTGCTGCCTCACTCTCCGCTCCCCCTGCTTCCGCCCTCCGCCCGCCTTCCGTCCGCGCGCCCCAACCACCTGCCTGGGCGCCTTCCGCCAACCCGACTGCCGAGGTGGCAGTCATACCCGCGACGGCGAGTGCAGCGGGCGCACTGGGCGCGCACATAACCCTGTGCGACGCAGACGCGACACTCTTCCCCGACTCTCGCCTCCCCAATCTCTCCGCCGCTTCCACTGCGCCTGCCGTCACCTCATCTCTCACCTTTTCCCCTCCCGCACCCACTTCCCCACCTGCACCCACTCCCCCCGCACCCACTCTCCCCGCATCCGCTCCTTTCCCAAGCCCCACCCCTAACGGAGCCTTCGCATCGGTTCCGGCTCACTCGCCTCCCGCCGTTCCAACCCCCTCCGCTCCTACCTCCTCCGCTCCTATCCCCTCTGCTCCTTCTCCTTTCGCTCCCACTCCCCCCGCTCCTACTCCCCCCGCTCCTACTCTCCCTGCTCCTACTCCCCCCGCTCCTGCTCCCCCCGCTCCTACTCCCCCTGCTCCTGCTCCCCTCGCTCCTACTCCCCCCGCTCCTACTTTCCCAACCGGCGAGTCCCCTCCAGTAGGTCTCCCTTCCGCCGCACCTCCACTCCTCCCCGTTCCTCCCGCCCCGCCTGTCCCACGTGGCACCGCGCGCGCTGCCAACGCCTCCGCCAACGCGCGCTCCTCTGGGGCAAACGCGCGCCCTCCCGCCTCCTCCCGCCGCCCTCCCGCCCCTGGCGGGCGCAAGCGCGCTCAGCCGCCTTCCAGTGACGCGGCAGCGTTGTTAGCCAATCAGAGAGCAGCAAGTTCACAGTCCCGTGGCGCTATGTTGGCGCTGGCGGCGGCAGCAGGAGGGGACGCTGAAGCGGACATGGGGGAAGTGTACTTTCTCATTCTGCACTTTTTGACGGGCAGCCCGTGCCGTCGGGCAGCAGAAGTTTTGAAAGAGGAGCTGGAGGAGTTGAATCTGCTTCCGCAGCGGTACCATGCGGTGTACTCGCATGGGGGAAGGCGGGCAGGCGCAAGCAGCGCGAGTGAAGGGCGGGATTGTGGCAGGGGCAGCGAGGGTGGTGGCGAGGGGAGTGCACGTGGGGAGGCGGGGGTGGTGGGGGCACAGGGGAAGGCTGGGGAGGGTGGGGGGAGGGGAGGAGGCGTGGAGGGGGAGAGGGAGATGACAGTTCCCCTGAGCTACGAGGAGCTGAGGGAGAGGTGAGCGCCTGCACTGCTCGGCCAGTGGTGTGTGGGATGATTGTGCACTCTGCTTGTCTTTTTCCGATTGGATTTGTAGGCAACCATGTGCCTTGGTCCATTCCTTTCACCCTGGCCCGTGTCCCTCGCCTGCTGTCTGTGTGTGCATGCCCCGCTGTGCCCCTCCCCTACCTCCAGGTACGCGCACATTGGCCCCAACCACCTCTTCCTGCTGTTGCAGGAGCTGCTGCAGACCACCCATCTTGCCGTATCCTCCGCCTCCCTCCTCCCCTCCGCGCCTCTCTCCTCCTCCGCGCCCCACCCGCCGCCGTCAGCAGCGCCAGCCCTCCCTCCGGCCCCGCTTGCTGCAGCAGCTGTTGCACCCACCGTCGCTGCCCTTCCCTCTGCTTCCGTTCTTGCTGTTGCCACTGGCCCCCTCTCTATCTCCGTTTCTCCCACTGCACTAGAGGAGGTTTTGCCAGGTGCCGCAGCCCCAGCCACCGCTGCAGCTGTGGGTGTGAGCGCCGGCGGTGGCTTGGAGGCAGGGCAGCAAGTAGGGGGCGCAGAGGCAGCAGCAGAGGGATCAGTGGGTGCGGCTGTGGCTCAGACGCTGGGAAGCGGGACAGAGGCTGCTGCAGCACCCGAGCAATTGGCAGTTTCAGGGCAACTGGAAGCAGCAGGGACCATTATAACGAGCGCGGCAGCAGCAGCAGCAGCAGCAGGCGCTGAAGCAGCAGGAGCAGCAGCAGCAGGGGCGGCAGGCAGCAGAGCACTCGTGCTGGCGTCACCGGCAACGGTGGTGGGAGCAGCGGCAGGGACAGAGAGGGGCGAGAAGGGTGCAGGCGAGGAGGGTGTGTTGGTGGGCACGGGGGCGGGCGTGGCAGCAGCGCGTGACAGGTGGTGGGTGTGTGCGGGTGACGTGCCAACGCTGCTGGGCCATGGCGGGATAAGCCTGAGGCGAGGTAGGCGCGGATTGTGGCTCCAGGGGCAGAGGGCGCTTGCTCATGGCCTGCTTGACCATTCTACGCTTCCCTTCCTCCCTCCCTCCTTCCCTCCCGCTCTGCTGCCGTTCCTCACCGTCTTCCCCTCTCCTTGCTCAACCCCGGTTCCCTTCACCCCTCTCCACCCCACCCTGCGCGCTCTATCTTTCACATCCCGCCCCTATTCGCCTCCCAACAACAGCGGAGTGGCTGCCAGCGCTGCTCTCTGCTCCGCGCACCTTTCTTCCCCACACAGCCCATCCGCACCTCTCTGCACCGCTCCTGCGCTCCCTCACGCTCAGAGAGACGGGCGGAGGGGTGTGCTCGCGGGCTGCCAGGGCTGTCAGTGCACGGTACGCCCCCCTGCACGCTGCCACTCCACCCTATGTGTGCTCCTTGCTTCCCGTCCACCTCTCACGTCAACACCACGCACCGTCGCCCCTTTGTGTCTGCCTGTCGTCTCACCACCCGTCTGTCCATCCCTTCCGCCCGTCGCCCCTTCCCTCAACCCTCCCCCCCCCTCCGCCCCTCCCTCTCCCTCATGGGGAGAGCAGAGCTGCGTCGCAGGCGGTGGCGTCCCCCGCGCTGCTGCTGAGCCGCATGGAGCAGGTCAAGGTGCTGCGCGGCCACCGCAACGCCGTCTACTGCGGTGCGTTGCCCCCATCCCCCGTTTCTCGCACTCACTGGCCCCGTGCCTGCGCTCACCGCACCCCCTCCCAACCTGCACTCACTGCCGCTCGCCACCTGCCTGCTCGCTGTGCTGCTGGCACCTGTTGCTTTCAACCCACTGCGTTCAGCAGCTGATTTCTGTAACACATTCACGCACGCATGCATACCCACCCATTCCACTCAACGCCCACGTCCTGCTCCCCGCACCCCCTCACTGTCTTCCCCCCCTGGCAGCGGTGTACGACCACGGGGGGCGGTACCTGATAACGGGGTCGGACGACCGCCTGGTGAAGATCTGGAGCATGCACCATGGCATCTGCCTCGCCACCTGCCGCGCGCACACCGTAAGCCTCCCTCCTCCATGCCACACTGCGAGTCCTTCCCCCCTCTCTCCACTCCACATGGCAACTCCTTCCTTCCACTTGCCATTTCCTGGTTTGGTTACTGTCTCATTCTGCCCGTGTGCGCTGCTCATGCTTGCCTGGATTGCCATGGCCTACCTATGCGGCTGTGTGTGTGCGCGTGCATGCATGTACGTACATGCAGGGGGACATAACGGATCTGGCAGTGAGCAGGGGCGACAAGTGGGTGGCATCAGCATCCAACGACTGCCTCATCCGCGTTGTCAGTGCCGCCCGCCCCTCGTCCTCATCCCCTTTCCGACTCCTCGTTCTCTGACCTCATCCCTGTCGCTACCATTTCCCCAACATTTCCTACCGCGTTCTCCATCCCTCCCCCCTTGCCTCATCGTTCTCCCACCCACTCTCCGCACCCCGCCTCCATGCATGTGGCAGTGGGAGCTACCAAGTGGGCATTTAGAGGTGACGCTGGTGGGCCATGCAGACGCCGTCACCGCTGTTGCATTCAGCCCCACCACACACCACCACCTCCTCTCGTACGCCTCCCCTCACGACTTCCTGCCACCATGCCTGTCGTGCCCCCATGCGCTGGTCCCCTTTCTCTCTGCTTTGCAAATACCTCTCACTCACGTCTTCTTGTATTATCTCTCTCTATACTTCTCTTACCCCCCCCAGCCTGGCCTCTCCACCTCCCCCCGCACCTCTCACCTCCTCATGTGTGCTGTTCCACCCCACACCCCCGCCAATGCCCACGGCGCTCATCAGGGCATCGGAGGACGGCTCATGCCGCCTGTGGGACGTCACAGCAGCAGCGGACAGCACCTGTCTGCGCCTCTTCCTGCCTGCCTCCCATGGTACTTCCACCATCTGCTCCCACCCTCTGCTCTTGCCCTCTGCTCCCGCCCTCTGCTCTTGCTCTCTGCTCCCGCCCTCTGCTCTTGCTCTCTGCTCCCGCCCTCTGCTCTCACCCTCTGCTCTCACTGCTTGATGTTTCCACCTCTCAAGTCCACAGCCAGTCCCCACCCCACTACCTCATGCCACGCCACCCCATGTCATCTCACGCCCTCTTGCTCCTCTGCACTCGCTTCCATAACTCAACCCTCTCTCCCCTCCCCTACCCTACCCTCTCCTCCCCTACCCTCCCCTCCCCTCCCTCCCCTCCCCTCCCCTCCTCTCTCTACCCTTGCCATGCAGCCACCAAGATTCCTTTCCCTCCGGGAACGTTTCTGAACCGCATGCAGCAGGGGGGCGCGGAGATGACCAACGAGGAGCGGGCCAAGATGCTGCCCCCCAAAGTGCTGTGCGCTGCCTTCAACGCCGAGGGCTCTCTCTTTGTCACGGGCAGCGAGGATGGGCGCACGCGGGTGAGTGGGGATGGGCGCACGCGGGTGAGTGAGGATGGGCGCACGAGGGTGAGTATGGGAATTTGAAAGTTATGCTAATTCGCACACTTTTTGCCATTTCATGTGCCGTTCCACATCATCACATTCACTGCGATGCTGTGTCACAGCATCACATCTGACGGTGCGGTGCCCTGCATGTGCATGTGCATGTGCTTGTGCGTGCATGTGCATGTACGCCGCCGTGCTGTGTCCCATCGTCACACGTGATGTTGTGCTGCACTTCTGCTCTATGTACGCCTTGTGCCCAGGTATGGGATGCCCGCCTCCCTGCTCTCGCACCCAAGGAACCCTCTCAGCTGCCGCAGCAGCAACAGCAGGAGCAGCAGCAGCTGCAGCAAATCCAGGAACTACAGCAACAATACCAGCAACAAGAACAGCAGCAGCAGCAGGGGCCGTGGGTGGCAGGAGTGGGTGAGCGGGGGCGGGAGAGAGTGGGGGTGCAGCACGAGGTGCAGGAGCTGCTGGGGCACCAGGGGTCAGTCAACTTCGTGCAGTTCAGGTGCGCCCCAAACGCCCCTCTCCTGCCGCCCCCACACCCCTCTCCTGCTGCCTGCCTGCCACCGCCCTCTGAATCTAACTGCCACAACGCTCTCTGTCATGTTTCACCACACAAGCCCCCATCGCCCCCTTCTCTGCTCATGCCCCAACCCCTTGCACCCTGCCCCCCGTCCCCTCCTCCCTCTCCCCCCCCTTGCGCTGCAGTGGGTGTGCGGGGGTGCAGCAGGAGGTGACGTCTGGTGGGGACGAGGAGGGGAGGGGTGTGGGGGAGAAGGGGAAGGGAAGTGCGGAGGGGGGGAAGAGGAAGGAGAAGGACAAGGAGAGGCGACTCACCTCCCTCAAGTAAGCCCCGCATGCACTCTCAACTGCACCGTGTCTCACTACCACTCCCCGTTCACACCTTGGCCTCTCACCATCACTCCCCATCTCCACTACTACTCACACCCATCTCTCCACACCGCCTGCCCTCCAACTGTTTTTCTTCTCCCTGAGCCCAACTTCCCTCTCTCCCTCACCCTCTCATTTCCGCTTCCTCCCTCTTCCCTTCCACCCACCCCACCCCCCAGCACGGCCAACCGGCCCGGGGTGGAGGCGATAGTGTCGTGTGTGCGGGACGGCTCTGCCATCATCTGGTGCGCTCGGGCCCGCAGCGTGCATGTGAGTGGGCGCCATGGGCCGGTGCGGAACCCATGTGCTCTCAGTGCGCACATGAGAGGCACTTGCCGTCCCCGTCCCCTACATGCATGCATGCATGGTTGCTAGCATTCACCCCATCAGCCCCGTCCCTTCCATTCCTTGTTCCTTTATCACCCCTCATCACCTCTCATTGCCCCTCTCTCATCCACTTCCCCCGTACTTCCGCCCCCTGTGTCCCCATCCGCCAGGGAAAGCACCTGCATTGGAACAAGGCGCAGCAGCTCACCGCTCCTCCGCGCCCCCTGCCTGTGCCCGCGGGGGCTGCAGCAGGGCAGGGCGCAGGGGGCGGGGGGAGGGCAGGGGCGAGGGCGAGGGCCAGGGATGCGGCGGGGGCGGCGGCGAATATGATTATCTGGTCGCTCGACTGTCAGTTCGTGCTGGCTGCCCTCACAGGTGTGCAACCATCCCAGGTGCTGGGATGTCATTGTTGTGAGCATGAGTAGGTGCAGCAGGAGCAGCGGGGGCGGCGGCGAATATGATCATCTGGTCGCTGGACTGCCAGCTCGTGCTCGCTGCCCTCACAGGTGCGCTGCCCTCACAGGTGCGCTGCCCTCACAGGTGCGCTGCCCTCACAGGTGCGCTGCCCTCACAGGTGCGCTGCCCTCACAGGTGCGCCCTTGGGAGCTGGCATGTCATTGTTGGTTGTTAGCAGGAATAGCTGCAGCAGAGATGCGCGTGTGTGTAGCAGTGGGCAAGGCACTGCTGCCTCGCCTGTTGTATCGTTCCTCATCTCTCCACCCAGCCTCTCTTCTCTTAACCCCAGAGTCTCGCCCTCTTCCTCTGCTCGTATCTCTGCCCGTGCGTCTGTGCGTCTCTCCCCCCCCCCCCCACTGGTGGCAGATGCGCGCATCTGTGTGTGGCAGGCGGCCACAGGCGAGCTCATACACTGCCTCACAGCACACCAGGAGCAGGTGAGGGGTCACACGCACACAGGTACGAGCAGGTGAGGGGGTCACACGCCCTAATGTGAGTGACAGGGTGAGAGGCGCACATTAAGGTCTGGGTGGGTGGTTGCATTGAAGAGGCTCTGACACTCCCACTCTCTACCTCCATTTCTGCCATCCTCGCACATGCACTCACTCCACAACCCCTGCCATCCTCTTTCCCCATGCCATGCCCGCTGGCCCCTCCACGTTCTTGTTGAGCGTCCATCCTGTACACCCGCTCATCGAGTTTGAGGCGTCTCGAATCATTTTCCATGCCCTGCTATGCGCCTCCCGCGTGTAATGAGTCGTGTTTTGAGTCGACTCAAAGCGTCTCAAATCATTCCCCGTGCCCTGCTACGCGCCTCCCTCCCCCCTCCCCCTCCCCCATCAGGCGTTTGTGCTGGACGTGCATCCCACGGACCCGCGCATTGCCATGAGCGCGGGGTACGATGGCCGAGTTATCGTGTGGGACATCTGGAAGGGACAGCCAATCGCCATCCGCCACGTCACCAATTTCCAACTCGTCGACGGCCATTTCTCTCCGTAAGTCCCTTTGTGCGCCTGGCCCCCCTTGCTGCCTCCCGTCGTGTGCGCCCCCTGCTTCCATGCTTCTCGTTCCGGCTGCTGCTGCTTCATCCAGCCCCATCCAGCCCCATCCAGCCCCATCCAGCCCCATCCAGCCCCATCCAGCCCCATCCAGCCCCATCCAGCCCCATCCAGCCCCATCCAGCCCTATCCAGCCCCATCCAGCCCCATCCAGCCCCATCCAGCCCCATCCAGCCCTATCCAGCCCCATCCAGCCCCATCCAGCCCCATCCAGCCCCATCCAGCCCTATCCAGCCTCGAGTATCTCGTGCGCTCTCCCATTCACCCATCCGTCTACAGATTTGTTGCACTCCCCCCCCCCCCCAGGCACCCATGACTATACACGTCCCTATCTCCCCCATGCCCATGTGCGTCCCTCCCACCCCCATGCCCATGCACAACCCTCTTTCCCCCCACGCCCATATGCATGCATGCATGCGTGCATGGGTGACAGGGACGGCACGGGGCTGGTGGTGGCGGACGAGGTGGGGCAGGTGTATGTGTTTGCCACGGGGGGCAAGGACCAATGGGCGCACATCCACATGGATCAGGTGGGCGCATTCACATGGACCAGGTACCATGGCCACATGCCCTGTGCCATGCCTCTCTGCCATGCCCACATGCCCTGTGCCATGCCTCTCTGCCATGCCCACATGCCCTGTGCCATGCCTCTCTGCCATGCCCACATGCCCTGTGCCATGCCTCTCTGCCATGCCCACATGTCCTGTACCATACCTCTCTGCCATGCCCACATGCCCTGTACCATACCTCTCTGCCATGCCCACATGCCCTGTGCCATGCCTCTCTGCCATGCCCACATGCCCTGTGCCATGCCTCTCTGCCATGCCCACATGTCCTGTACCATACCTCTCTGCCATGCCCACATGCCCTGTGCCATGCCTCTCTGCCATGCCCACACACGTCACGTCCTTCATTGTGTGCCCTCTTCGTCCTTCTCAAACGGCCCTGGGTCCACTCTCTTTCCGCCACTATCCTAAACTGCCTCTCGTTCTCCCATGTGCCCCTCATGCGTCCCCCATGCCCCTCCCTGCACCGCCTGGTCAGTTCTTCCTGGGCGACTATCGTCGATTCGCCCTCGACTCATTCCACAACGCCCTCGATGAGGTGCATTCTCATGCCCGCCTGCACTCATGCCCGCCTGCACTCATGCCCGCCTGCACTCATGCCCGCCTGCACTCATGCCCGCCTGCACTCATGCCCGCCTGCACTCATGCCCTCCTGCACTCATGCCCGCCTGCACTCATGCCCTCCTGCACTCATGCCCTCCTGCACTCATGCCCTCCTGCACTCATGCCCTCCTGCACTCATGCCCTCCTGCACTCATGCCCGCCTGCACTCGTGCCCTCCTGCACTCATGCCCTCCTGCACTCATGCCCGCCTGCACTCATGCCCTCCTGCACTCATGCCCTCCTGCACTCATGCCCTCCTGCACTCATGCCCGCCTGCACTCATGCCCTCCTGCACTCATGCCCTCCTGCACTCATGCCCGCCTGCACTCATGCCCTCCTGCACTCATGCCCGCCTGCACTCATGCCCGCCTGCACTCATGCCCGCCTGCACTCATGCCCGCCTGCACTCATGCCCGCCTGCACTCATGCCCGCCTGCACTCATGCCCGCCTGCACTCATGCCCTCCTGCACTCATGCCCGCCTGCACTCATGCCCTCCTGCACTCATGCCCGCCTGCACTCATGCACTCCCCTGTACTTCCGATTGCCTGCACTTTTGCTTTCGCCTGCACTCCTGCTTCCCTCCCACTCTCCCCTGCACTCCCGCTCTTGCTCGTGTTGCTTCTCCCAATTCCATTCCCTCTCATGCCTCCATCTCATCCGCGCACCCAATGGCCCCTCATGCCCCACCCCCCACACCAGGAGACGAACATTCTAACGGAGGAGCGCACGTGGATGGACCCCATATGCGATGCGGGCATGCAGCCGTACCCCGACCCCTACCAGTCGCGCTTCCATGCGCTGCGCTTCGCCCTGCTCGCGCGCCCCTACCACCCGCCCTCCTTCCCGCTCCGGGTGGGGCGCATCGAGGCAGACGACCTCGCCTTCCAGCCCGTCCCCAACGAGGCCTTGGGCGCCCCCGGCTCCGCGCCCCTGCCCCTCCTGCCCCTGCCTGCTGCTGCTGGCGGTGGCGGGCGCGGGGGAGGTGGGCGGAGGGAGGGCGTGAGGAGGGAGGAAGGCGGAAGGGGGAGGAGGGAAGAGGATGGGGAGGTGCAGGTGGTGAGTGGGGGCGAGGAGGGGGAGGAGGGGAGGGTGGGCAGGGGAGAAGGGGGTGGTGCAGGGGGGGTTGATGGAGGGAGGGAGAGAGGAGAGGTGAGGCGACGGGAAGGCCAGCGATGGGAGCTGAGGGAGAGGCTGCCTGTGAGGCGGTATGAGGGGTTTGAAGTGACCATGGCGGGGGAAGAGGAGAGGGGCGAGGAGGAGAGGGGGGAGGACGACTCAGAGTATGAAGTGAGCGGAGGGGAGGAGGAGAGGCGCGGAGGGAGTGAGGAGGAGCAGGAGGGGGAGACGGAGGAGGAGGAGGAGGAGGAGGAGGGTGGGCAGGGCGAGGGGGAGGAGGAGGATGGGCAGGGCACAAGACGGTCACGGCGGCTTCTGGGGAAGAGGAGGCGGCGGTGGGGAAGGGCAGGGGAGGGCGAGGGGGATGAGGAGGACGAGGAGGGGGTTGAGGAGGTGCGGGAGCAGCGGGGGAGGCGGATGGTTACAAGGAGTGGGCGCGACAAGGGGAGTGGAATGGGGAAGGGGAAGCGGGGGGGACAAGGGCGGGGGATGAAGAAGGGGAGAGGGGGGAGGGGCAGGGCATGCAAGGTGGCAAGGGGTGGTGGAGGCGGGGTAGGCAGGGGGAGAGGGCGGGTGAGGCGTGCAGGGAAGGAGGTGGAGGGGGAGGAGGAGTGGGATGTAGAACCTTGGGAGGAGGAGAGTGGTGCGCGGAAGAGAAGGTTTGCTGCGGGCGAGGAAGAAGAGGAGGAGGATGAGGAGGAGGAGGGAGAAGGGGAAGGGGAAGACGAGTGGGAAGAGGATGAGGAAGAGGAGGAGGATGAGGAGGAAGAAGAGGAGGAAGGTGAGGAGGAAGGTGAGGAGGAAGGGGAGGAAGAGGAGGAGTATGAGGAGGAGGAGGACGTGGAACAGTACAAGCGGGTGGGGCACGCCTCTAGAAGCCTGGCCACCGCTCCTTACACCCACCAGTGGGCTCATGGCTCGCAGGCGAGGGGAGGGCAGGGGGTGGGGGAAGGCAGTGGGCATGGAAGGGGGCAGCAGGGCGCGTTGGCAGTGAGGGGCGGGCAGAGTGCTATCACTGCTACGGGCCCGCTCAAACTCAAAATCAACCTCAGAAAACCCTCTGCTGCCGATGCTGCTGCCGACGCTGCTGGTGGTGCTGATGCTGCTGCTGGTGCCGATGCTGCTGCTGGTGCTGGTGGTGCTGGCGCGTCTGCTGCGTGTGGTGGGGGGGGCGGCAGCGGGGGCGGCAGTGCGGGCAGCTCCTGTGCAGCGCCGCGCGGAGTGACCAAGTCGCAGCTCAAGCAGGTGCGCTGCGGTACAGGTCAGGGGGCAGGCAGTAGGCGGCAGGGGTCAGGGGGCAGGGGGACATGGGACAGGGGTTAGGGGGCATGGGGCATGGGGCATGTGACTGTTATGTAGAGAGACACACCAGGAGCGTGACTTTTTTGGTGCATTGGTTGTGGAAAAGCTACTAACTTAATGTCCGTATCTGCTGGTGTGTGCTTGCACTCGTGTGTGTGTGTGTGTGTGTGGCACAGCGCATGGTGGCTCAACGCACCCAGGCCGCACAGGCCCTGCTGCAGCACACTCACGCCACGGCTCATGAGGGAGAGGAGGCGAAGGAGGAGGAGGAGGACGACGAGGAGGATGTTGTGGAGGCGGAGGAGGATGAGGGGGATGAGGAGGATGAGGAGGATGAGGAGGGGGTGGAGGGGGTAGAGGAGGTGGAGGAGGAGGAGGAGGAGGAGGAAGTGATGGAGGAGATCGGATCAGAGGAGGAGGAAGAGGAAAATGTGGTGGCAGAGGTGGGTGAGGAGAGCACGCGAGGGAGGAGAACAAGGAGCAACAGTCGGCATGCTGCTGTGAGCCAGGCCGCTCAGTTGAGACCCGCTCAGATAAGACCCGCCCAGTCAAGACCCGCACAGATCAGACCTGCCCAAATAAGACCTGCCCAGCTGAGGCCTGCTGGGATGGGCGTGGGTGCAGCAAGGGGTGGTGATGCTGTTGAGCGTTCAGTCCAGGCAGGTGGTGCTGAGGAGATTTGGGAGGACGAGGAGGAGGAAGAGGAGGAGGAGGAAGAGGAGGAGGAAGAGGAGGAGGAGGAGGAAAACGAAGAGGAAGAAGAGGAAGAGGAGGAAGAGGAAGAAGAGGAGGAAGAAGAGGAGGAAGATGAGGAAGAGGAAGAAGAGGAAGAAGAGGAGGAGGAGGAAGAAGATCGGGGGAATTGGAAAGTAGAACCCAACTGGGGAAAGAGGAAGACGCGCAAGCGCACAGCAGGGGCGGGGGCACTCCCTGCAGGGAGGGGGGAGGTGCGGGGAGGAGGAGGGGGGGCGAGACAGTCAGTGCGGGTGGTGGCAGGCAGGGGCAGGGGAAGGGGCAGGGGCAGGGGAAGAGGTAGAGGCAGGGGGAGGGGAGCAGGGAGTGCATCTGGAAGGGGGGGGCAAGGGAGGGGCGCGGGCGGCAGAGGAAGAGGCAGCAAGGCGCGAGTTGCAGGATCAGGTGGGGAAGGGGGCGGGGCGCGGGTGGGGGCGGGGAGGGCTTGGGGAGGTGTGGGGGAGAGGGGGAGGCGAGCTTTGGGTGAGGCGAGCGGGGAGGGGCTGGCAGGGGATGGGGAGGTGAGTGAGGAAGAAGATGCAGAGGCAATGGGCGGGGATGAGAGTGAGGGAGAGGGGCATGCAAGTGGGGAAAAGGGAAGAGGGGAGAGGGGCGAGGGGGTTGACGTGGTGAAGGGAGGACACGTATTGAGGGCAAGGACACCACGGGGGAAGGGGTGGTGGGGAGAGAAGGGAGGGGCGAGGAAACGAAATGAGGGACATGAGAATGAGGAGGGGCAAGAGTGTGAGGAGGGGCAAGAGAGTGAGGAGGGGCAAGAGTGTGAGGAGGGGCAAGAGAGTGAGGAGGGGCAAGAGAGTGAGGAGGGGCAAGAGAGTGAGGAGGGGCAAGAGAGTGAGGAGGGGCAAGCAAGTGAGGAGGAGCAAGAGCGAGCAGGGGTTGAGCGAGGGCGCATTTCGAATTCGGTCATGCAGAGTGCGTCGCTGGGTACTGACGAACGTGCAGCCGTGCGTGGGGTGGGCGCTGTGTGGGCTGTGCAGATGACGACGACGCCTGGCGCCCCTCCAAGCGCACCCGCTGCTGACGCCACTCCGCCTGACACTGCTCCTGACACTGCCGCTGCTGACAATCTAACTGGCGCTGGTGCCTTTGGAGGTGCTGGTGCGGCAGCAGCAGCAGCAGCAGCAGCAGCAGCAGCAGCAGCAGTGCGTGGGGGCCTGCCAGTGGTGGTACCGGCTGGCACGAGGAGGAAGAGGAACGCGCGTGGGACAGCAGTGCAGCGCACAGGGCGCACTGACAGACTGGGAGGAGGGGGCGTGCCGGAGGTTGAGGGCAGCGGTGGGACGGGTGTGTGTGCTCTGGCGCTGCTTCTTCCCCGCACAGCAGTGCCGGCTGCTGCTGCGTGTGAGGGTGGTGGTGCAGACATGGTCGGTCCTGGGAGCGGGGCCAGTGCGGGCGAACACGCTGCGGGACTGCAGGATGGTGGAGGGGCGGATGAAGGGGTAGATGGAGGGGTAGGTGAAGGGATAGGTGACGGAGCAGGTAGTCATGTTGAGTGCAAGACAGAGGTTGGAGAGGAGAAGGGAGCGAGTGGCGAGGAGGAAGGGAAGGGAGAAGATGTGAGGAAGGGGGACGGGGGTGAGAGCACAGTGGAGGGCGTGAGAGATGCAGGTGCAGTTGTGGTGGCGGGTGAAGGGAACAGGATGGTCGCGGAGGGAGGTGGTTTGGAGGGCGAGGGGAGTGGGGGCAAGGATGCGATGGATGGGATGAAGCAGGAGAGGCACGAGGACGGTGAGACTCAGCAGGGGATGCCAAATGCCACTGCTTGTGCTGCTGCTGCTGATGCTGCTGCGGTTGAGGAGGATGGCTTGTGGGCGGGAGGTGGTGCCTTGGAGGGCCACGCACAAGTGGAGGGTGCAGGGGAGTGGGCGCAGCAGGGCGTGCTGGGGGCGGATAGCAGAGGGGGCAGTGAGGGCGCAGGGGGTGGGGCGGAGTGGGGGGAAGAGGAGGGGGAGATGAGTGCGCGCAAGGAGGAGCTGTTTGCGGAGCTGTTTGGGGAGGAGGGCGCGGAGGAGGGCGCAGGGCTGCCTGGAGACAACCTGCTCAGCCCGACTGGTGATAGGGCGGGCGGCACCGAGGAGGGTGGCAGGGAGGAGGGCGGCACGGAGGAGGGCGGCACGGAGGAGGGCGGCACGGAGGAGGGCGGCACGCAGGAGGGCGGCACGCAGGAGGGCGGCAGGGAGGTGGGCGGTAGGGAGGAGGGAGACGGAAGCAATACCAGCGATAGGAGTGGGAGTAAGCAAGGGGACGCGAATGGGGAGACAGGGCGTGAGGGGGACAGCGGTGGCGGGCAAGCAGCGAGCGATGGTGGCATGAAGGCGGAATGCAGCGCAGGTGGCAGCAATGAGGGGCAGCATGCATGCGCGGTTGGTGCGACTTCTGATGCCCTCCCTGCTGTCAGGGCTGGCAGCGCAGCCGAAGCTAGGGAGCAGGCTTGGGGGGAGGGTGGGAGGAGTGCAGAGGGGGGTGCAGAGGAGCAGAGGTGCGCGGTGGAGGAAGAGGAGGGCCGGGAGAACAGGGAGGGGAGTGCGGGGGGCGAGCAGAGGGAGAGGGGCGTGAGTGGTGGCAGCAATGGTGGTGGTGGGCACCGTGAAGGGGAGGGGAGAGGGGGTGGCGCAGATGATGGGGAGGAGGCTTGTGTGGGGAGAGGCGAGGAACAGGAGGAAGCAGAGCAGGGGGACGAGAGGGGGAAGGGGCAGGAGAGGGATGGTCTAGGCGAGGATGGTGGGGCGAGTGGGGAGTGTGAGAGGGTGGGGGATGGTGCGGAGACGGGGGCAGAAGGTGATGAGCGAGATGCTAGTGGTGATTCGGACAAGGGGTGTGGGGTGAAGGAGGAGGGGCAAGATGCGCTTAGAATAGAGCAAGTGGGGCGGATGGGCGGGAAGAGAAACGTGAGGAGGCGATTGGAGCATGGCAAGAGTGCGGATAGGGAGAATGCGGATGGGGAGAATGCAGGGGAGCGTGGGAGGAGGAGGAGGAGGAGGAGGAGGAGGAGGAGGAGGAGGAGGAGGAGGAGGAGGAGGAGGAGGAGGAGGAGGAGGAGGAGGAGGAGGAGGAGGAGAAGGAGGAGGAGGAGGAGGAGGAGGAGGAGGATGAGAAGGAGGAGGATGAGAAGGAGGAGGATGAGAAGGAGGAGGAGGAGGAGGAGGAGGAGGAGGAGGAGGAGGAGGAGGAGGAGGAGGAGGAGGAGGAGGAGGAGGAGGAGGAGGAGGAGGAGGAGGAGGAGGAGGAGGAGGAGGAGGAGGAGGAGGAGGAGGAGGAGGAGGAGAAGGAGGAGGAGGAGGAGGATGAGAAGGAGGAGGAGGAGGAGGAGGAGGAGGAGGAGGAGGAGGAGGAGGAGGAGGAGGAGGAGGAGGAGGAGGAGGAGGAGGAGGAGGAGAAGGAGGAGGAGGAGGAGGAGGATGAGGAGGAGGAGGAGGAGGAGGAGGAGGAGGAGGAGGAGGAGGAGGAGGAGGAGGAGGAGGAGGAGGAGGAGGAGGAGGAGGAGGAGGAGGAGGAGGAGGAGGAGGATGAGAAGGAGGAGGAGAAGGAGGAGGAGGAGGAGGATGAGAAGGAGGAGGAGGAGGAGGAGGAGGAGGAGGAGGAGGAGGAGGAGGAGGAGGAGGAGGAGGAGGAGGAGGAGGAGGAGGAGGAGGAGGAGGAGGAGGAGGAGGAGGAGAAGGAGGAGGATGAGAAGGAGGAGGATGAGAAGGAGGAGGATGCGAAGGAGGAGGATGAGAAGGAGGAGGAGGAGGAGGAGGAGGAGGAGGAGGAGGAGGAGGAGGAGGAGGAGGAGGAGGAGGAGGAGGAGGAGGAGGAGG